TCAACTTTTATTCTTATTATAGTTAAAACTTAGAAAATTTTATAATTAATTTATTTAAGTATTTCATGAAATTTCAAAAGTGATTAATTATTAAATATAATACCTAATGAAAAAACTAAAATTAGGGAAAATAAAAGAATACTCTAGAATAGTTTAGAAAAAATATGCATTATTCTATTAAATAAAATGTCTCACAAATACAAATTAGTGCATTATTAATTATAATGTCACATATATTGCATTATATATAAAAATATTTATTAATATATATAATTATTAATTAAATAAAAATATTATTAAAATATTTATATTCAGATTTTTAACGGATCGAATTGCTTAATTCTATATCCGATCTACTTATTTTGGATTACGGATATTTATAATTAGATTTAGCCATCAGACATTTTAATCAGTTAAAGAGTCTAAGATTCGGATCAGATTCGTATTAAAATCTAATACATTGACAACCCTAACCTTGATAAGAGAAGTAGTCCGATTCCTTTCCCTCCCAGTTAAAAGCATTCAATATGTTATCCCAAAAGGCAACCCAAGAGAGGGGTGAATTGAGTTTTTATCGCGGAAGTTAAGAGTGTGAAAAATTAAAAATAATAATAAAAATATTGAATCAAATAAACTTATACAATTCACCCAATAATAAAATAAAACAATTTTAAGTAAAGTAAAGAGAGTAGGGATAAGAGATACAAACTCTTTTATAATGGTTCGACTTCCTACCTAAGTTTACATCTACTCTCTTGAGCTCCAACCGGTCAAAGTTCTACTAAGTCTATTGCACTTGACGGAGCCAAGAAATTCCGAGTACAAACAAAATCCCTTGGTTGAGGCAAGAAATCCCGATTACAAAACATTTGATTCAGTGAGTTTCAAACACCAATACAAATGGTAATGAAGATAAAGTAGAAATATAGCAATTCCTCATAAGTAGGATTAGCTACCACCTATGTACAAAAATGATCTCACTTCAAATAGGCACTCTCAAGAATAAAACAATTTTCTTTACGCACTCTTTGATCTAGTAATAAATAATATAGTAAAAAAATTAGAGAAAGATTGATAAGGCTTTTGAGAGCTTGTTATTATGTGCTTCTCCCTTCAATCCATTCTCCTTTTATAAGCAAAAATACCAAAGAGACATTGGCCTTTCTGGAATATAAAATTATTTGTTAACAGTAACTGCACATTTACTCATTTCAAAAATTCAAATAAAATAGCTCTGAACGTTCAAAAAATTAAAAAATTCTTTAATACTCCTCAATGAGTCTATTTTCAAATGCAAAAAGAATCATTAAATTATCATACACCGTTTGAAAGAAATGATCAAAAGTTCAACGACATGTTAGATTGTAAAATTGTTTTTATTAAAAGTTGTATGCCAAGTTCAAAATTGTTTAGAAATTTGAATTTGTATTCAAAAATAACAAATGATATATTTTTGAAAAGCTTATAACGTCTACTTTCATTCAAAATTGGATTTGTGCAAATTTAAATTTTATATTTTAAGATATGATAAAAACACTGTAATATACTAATTTTGTCTGCTGACAATGTAACTCAGCAGAATGACCCACTTTAAAAAATTATATCTATCAATCTATAAGTGTAAAACGTGCATATAATATATGCATTTAAAGATCAGTATGTCTACTTTATAAATAAAATTAATTCAAAATTTTATTTATATCATAAATTATATTTTACTAATTAAAACTAATATTATGCAAATTTCAAAAATGACTTTTTTAGAAAATAATATGTGATATTGATATAATAAACTGTTTTTATATAAAATAATATATAAAATAAATTATATGTCAAAATAAAGATATTTGAGTATTGTTTCATATAAAATTGACTTTATTATTTTTTAACTTTTCTATAGTAAGATATAATCAATTTACTACACATATGTTTAATTTGACAGTTTCACAATCCAGCGCATATAGTGTATGTAATTAAATAATAAACTTAATATTATAATTTATCCATATTATCCATTATATAAATATATACATATAATAATTTTAATTTATTTTTTTATTATCAAAATAAATATGAAATCTTGAGACTAACAATCTATCCCTTTTTGGTGATGACAAAACAAATATACAATACAAGATATTCATTAAGCACATATTATATAAATTCTCCCCCTTTTTGATATCATCAAAAAGATAAATTATATAAACTCCCCCTCAATGTATGCATGAAAAATATTTAGAGATTCTTTCCCTTAAAAAAATGATTTGATGCAAATAATTTTAATTATAAGTTCTATTTTAATAAAGCAAAATATTTTTTTATTAAGAGGTTTTGTAAAAATATCTGTTAGTTGATATTCAATATTCACAAATTCTAGTATTATGTCACATTTTTTAACATGATCTCTCAATAAATGATGTCTAATATCAATGTGTTTTGTTCTTAAGTGTTGAATAGGATTCTTAGATATATTGATGGCACTAATATTGTCGCACTTAATAGGAATATGTTTATAATTTAAGTCAAAAGTCTAGTAAAGTGTGTTTCATCCATAAATTTTGATTTTATTATTTTTGACTTTTCTATAGTAAGATATAATCAATTTACCATACACGTATTTAATTTGACAGTTTCACAATCCAGCACATATAGTGCATATAGTTAAACAATAAACTTAATATTGTAATTTATCCATATTGTCCATTATATAAATATATACATATAATAATTTTAATTTATTTTATCATTATCAAAATAAATATGAAACCTTGAGTCTAACACAACAAACCGAATTAAATTGTTTAGACCCATAAAACCATGATTTGGTTTAGTTTAATTCGGTGTGAAAATAAATTTTTTTATATGATTTAATTTGATATTTGATATCTAGACAAATTATGTAAACTGAGCTAAACCATATAGTTTATATATGTACTAAATCAAAATTTCTATCTCTTTATTTATATATTATTTTTATTATTTGACTATATATTTTTTCTTTTTATTATATTTTATATTTGTATTTAATTATTTTTCTTTTTTAGAGTATAACTTTTATTATTACAAGCAAAATTATGTTATATTAAAAAAATATATTTATTATATAATATATAAATACTATATCTAATTGATAAATAATAAATTTATTGAGTTAAAAAATGTTGAAAAAAATTAGATGTCTAGTATTTGGAAAAACTTTGTCAATATTTATATAAAAATAGCAAATTTAATTTAGTCCATTTTATAAAGTGTAATTTGTGATTTAAAATCAAACTAATTAATTTTTAAAAATTTTAAATTATAAAATATTTAAAAATTTAAATTAAAATATTAAAGTAAACTAAATTAAATTATAAGTATCTCTACTGGCAATCTAACACTCAATGGAGGGATAAAAAGGTACGGGCCCCAACAATTTTATCATTTTAAATCATTTTCTTTTTACCCAAAAACTTGATACCAAACTAAGGATATTCCCTTCCTTTAGCCATTTTCCTTTCATTTTTATTCAAAAATTGGTATCAACATTGCTCAAGGAAGAGAAAGAGAGATGGTGAAAGTATTTTATACTGATATAATTTCGTGTTTAGATAGGAGTAGAATTTGCTCATTAAATAGATTTGTTTTTTTTAAAAAAAAAAACTCATATTTACATGTTTACATCAGATTTTTTTGAAGGGTGTAGATGGAATTATAAATCATAAAATTGTACATTTTAATAAATTATTATTTTTTAAATAAAATTTTTATAATAAATAATATTAGAATTATTTTTAAAAAATATAGTACAGTGATAGAAGTACGATGACCCTATCTTACCAAGAGTATGAAAAAATCAAAGTGGGACATATGGATAGATATGATGAAGAAGAGGACTAGGCCCATAATATTAAAAGGAGAAATATTTTCGTCAGATTTGGAGAAAGCCAACATTATTCTTAAACTTTGTAAAGAGATTACCTTAACATTATTATTAATCTAAGATTTTCTTACATAATCTAAAATTTCAACCAACGAGAATTTGGTAAACATAAAATAAAAATATATTTGACAGTACATCTGGTTTTGAACAGTTGTAGGAAAAAGAAATCCCAATTGCAGAAGGGGTAGAACAATTCCGAAATTTTATTTAAGTACAACTAGAAACCTCAAAAAATTCGAATATACTATAAAATTCAATTACAATTTCAAGAGAACTGCGCCCAACACACTGATTAAACCTCATATTTCATTACTGTTGATATTAAAAAAAAGAAAAAAATACTTCCTATTTATAAAAATATCGTCCAGCGAACTAGAGCGTTTTAGGTGTTGTATGTTATAAGTTTGTTATATTATTATTTTTTTATAAATAAAATATGCATAAAGTATCATGATATATATAATATATATATATAAATAATCAAGTTGGCTAATTATTTCCTTTGTAGTATTTTTGGATTGGCTTAATCCACTTTTCGTTTGCATATGTCTTTAATCTTTAAACATGAAATAGTTAAATATTATAAAAATCAGAAACTAAAAAATAAAAATTTTAATTTAGAAATTTTAGATTTTTTGTATTTAAATTTCAATACATAAGTTAAAGGAAAAAAAAAACTTAACATTTAATAAGTGTTGATAAATATAATAAGATGTTTTTTATCCACAAAAATAAACTGATTTTAATTACATGAAAATATAAATACGAAGAGTGATGATGACATACTACAAACAAGATTGATGTTACAGTATAAAATGAATAAAAATATTTATTATAAAAATAAAAAAGAAAAAAAAAAAAAGGTTGATACATGTATTTGATTTTAAAAAATGTACAGTTGATTTGAAAGTTTTCTCAAGAATTCAATAGAGTATTTAGATTTTTGGTAAATTGAAATTTTAAAAGCTTAAATGATTTTATTATAATTTAAAAATCGATAAAAAAATAATTAGATTACAAATTAAATGTAAAAAAAAAAAAAGATTACGTATTAAATGTATACTTTTTTTAAACAAAGGAAGTTATAACCGGCGTAGCTCCTCCAAATTCCTGTACTAGTAATTTTACGGAGCGACGGTCTTGACCGTGTCAGCCGGAGGAGTGGGGAGGTTAGGAGAGAAAATGGCCGCTTCTGAGAAATTCGTGGAAGCAGACCATGCAGAAGCCATCATAACCCGGATCGAGCACAAGTCCCGCAAGATCGAGAGCTTACTCAAACAGTCAGTCCCCCAATTTTCGCACCTATTTTCCATTCAATTTCTATCACGTATACAAACACACACTACGCACATATCTATCGCCGTCAAACCTTAAATCGGATCTGGGTTGCGTTAGGTATAAACCAGTGGAAGCTCTCAAAACTGCCCTGGAAGGCTCGCCTCCGAATACCAAGGACGAGAGATGCAAGGTTCCCCCGCTTTCTCTCTTTAATAGTTTTCAAATTTTCGTGATTTTCTTTCTGATTTGTATTTTTGGGGCGTTTTCAGTCTGCGAATTGGATAGTGGTGCACAGGGCGATTATGGCTATAAAGGATGTGGATGGGATGTTCTTTTCTCTTGATCCAGAGTACTACGACATTCTTATGAAGTAAGTCTCAATTAATCATAGCGATTGTTTGTGGAAGTGATCATATCATTTCTATTAATGGCGATATGTATCTGATATTGGCTGTGAACCTCTTGATGGTAGGAGAATTTCATTGCAGAGACAACTAAAGAAGTTGAATTAATCTACTAATTGATGCGAGCTCCTTATTTTGGGGTCACTAAAACCTTTACAAGAAACTAGTGGTCTGTTTTAGAGGGATTTTTGTATTTTCTACATCCTACCTTGATGAGTAATGGGGAAAGAAGGGCTATTTATAAATATGGGAAAGTGCGACTCTTCACTCTAGGATGCAGGGGAGGGTAGCATCATCGCCTAGGCAGTATGTTATAGGAACTGACTTCTGGGGAAGCACCAGACTTTACTAGATTTAGATTCCCCAAGTTCAACTGATAAAGAATCTTTGGGACATCGACAATTAGCTCACTTAGGCAATATTTTGTAAGAACCCGCCCTTTTCAAGGAAGTATCAGACGTTACCAGATCTAGATTCCCCAAGTTCAACTGATAATGTATCTTTGGGATGTCGACAATTGGATCACCTAGGCAATATTTTGTAAGAACTTGCCCTTTTCAAGGAAGTATCAGATGTTACTAGATCTAGATTCCCCCTCTTCCATTGATAATGAATTTTTGGCATGTTGACGAGGAGCTCTAATGTCTTTATTTCACATTGGCAGTCGGCGCTTACTTTCAGAAGTGCATTTTGCATCGGTATCCAAACACATACAATTTCCATTTGTGAACCCCTCACAGTTAATGCATATGTATTGGAGTTGGACCTATCTTAAACCGCACTTTCCTTTTGATCCCTACCAGCACGTGTGCTTATCACGTACCTCATGGACTAACAGTTCAACTGGCCTTGACACGAGGCCTTGATCACTAAATAACTATTATAGTAGACTACTAACTTGGTATGAGCAGCAAAATATCACCCACACCTTCCCTTATGAGATAGTAATTGGTTTCATTGTGTTGGAACTTAGATCCTGTCATGTTGAATTGGATTATGAGTTGTTGTGTTGCCACCTTGTCCTGACTATATGTGGCTTGGTTCCTGAATATCTTATTGCATGTTTGTTTCAAGATGAGGTCTACTGTCTTGACACCCAACCCAACTGGCAATCACTAGGAGAGATCTGAGGTTTTTGTTGTGGAATGATGATTCTTTTTTATTGTCATCCTCCCCATTCTCATGATAAACCATGTGGTTTGAGATTAAGAATCTGGTCTTTTTACATAATTATAGCCCCAAGCATTTAAAAGTCAATAATTACATACTTCAAGGGCAACACTTGTATATCAAGCTATGTTTGAGGATGCCTTGGAAATGATGGGACTGACTGAAGTTTTAGATAGATTCAGGACTTCCATGGGATGTGCTTTGCAAAAGATTAGTGGGACTTCAATCTGTGTGTTTTGTTATATATGATAATGATACAATTTATTATTAGTTAGGGAACTGCCTATCCTGAATATTTCATTGCATATTTGTCTCAAGATGAGGTTTACTGACTTGACACCCAACCCAACTGGCATTCACTAGGAGAGATCTAAGGTTTTTGGTGGAATGATGATTCATTTTTATTATCATCCTCCTCATTCTCAAGATAAACCATTTGGTTTGAGGATACTTTGGTACAGTGTGCCAACACTTTCCAATGATTATCATTGTGGAATATAATTTTTTTTGACCCTGGGAGGGAGGCCAACACATGGTGACTAACTGGAGAAAATGTTAATTGGAGAAAATTACAGGTTAGATTAGATTGTCAAAATTTAAGGTTACAGTTTCCAGGATGGAATGCTGATAAGATAGAGATTTCCGCAGTTATGGGACTACGGTCGAATATATATTGCTGGCTAGATCTTGAGGTGCTGGAAAAATTGGGGGGAGTGGGGGAATTCCCCAAATCCCAAGTCTTTAGTATTAAAAATAACAGTTTAAATGCAGCTAGATGTTGATGCTGAGGCTTGAAATAATTGAACATGTGATAGTGTAGATAAGAAGAAGAAATAAGAGGAGTCTTAATCATAGGTATTTCAAAGTCTCATTCTGAAATTATAATCAAACACTTCCTTAAGCTAGATTTTGGAAACATACAAATTCCTGAATTACTCCAAATCAGAAAATAAGTGAAATTCAGCTGATCAAAGATAAATTTATTTGTATGCACATGTTCCCCACTACTGATTGGATACTATTTAGTACTTCAATCCAATATTCATTAGCCACTTGATTATATTTTTTGAATACATTTGCATGATCTTTAAATTCAAAGGAACACCTGGTTTATGCAAGTGGTTAGTTTGGCGAAGTTGAATAACCTTTTTGCCTTATGTAGCAAAATTACTGAATAAATTCCAAGTTGAACAAAGTAATGCCATGAGGGAAATGACAGACCGAATCGTACATGTTTTCTTGCTTAGTTTCTTTGGTATTTGGGCCTTTTGGTTTAGCTGAAAAAGGACCATCTGAAACATCTTAATTTGTGAGCCTGATTGACTATTTTGAAGCATAATAGAGCAAAGAAAAAAAAAATCCTAACCCCAAATGCCGCATCCAATCAAGATCAAGATCAAAGCAGCACCAAAGCCCAATCTTCACTTGTGCAAGCAATATTAAAGAAGATGCAAATGAAATATGATGCAAATGAAGATGAAATTACATTTAGCAGTGGAATACATTGGGGGTGTAGTTTTCATCTTCAGAGGGATATTCAGCATCAGCATGTTTATTTTAAAGATTCAGAATTTTTCTATTGATAAGATCTGTCCATTGTTAATTAGAGGAGGAGGATAAACACCAGGTAATTCAGGTGAGAGGCCCTCTATTTGTCAAGTAAATGAATTTTCTTCTGTTTTCTGTGGATAAAAACCAGATTGCTAAACATTTGGCTACTGCCCAGGCACTTATATCGAACAAAGTGGAAAGTATTTGGTAGATAAGACTTTCTTTCTGAACTGGAGGGGCTTCCTATGTAATGAGTATTTGTTGTTTCATGTATTCATTCTTCATTGACAATACTATTCTCTATTTAACACCTACTGAGAACAGAGCTGAGTACTTGATCCCCTTTTGAAAATAAGTATGGGAATCCTACTGCTTCTACAATTTAATGCATTCTTTGCAAATGGAATATGGTAGTTCTAAAGGGGAGAGTCATAATCTACCATCATTACATTGTGCTATAGGTATTCTTGCAGTAATATAAAACATTATAGAGCACCTGACAGGAATTACCTTGACTAGAGTATATTACCTAGACAGGTGCAGAAGCTGCACCTTCATGCTTTTCCTAGTAACCATTGAAACTTGTCGTGCAGAATTTGTGTCTGGGATCCTAACTCCAAATCTATTGGTGTTTGGGCTTGGGATTAAACTACACAGACATACAGAAAAAAATAGGAATTATTACATTTTCCCATACCCTTGTTTCTGTCAATTTTTTCTCCGTGTATGCATTTTGGGGTTGTCAAATAGGATTGAGTTGAAGCATTGCGGGGAGGTGATGGAATTCAATCTGCAGCATCATGTGTTTAGTGCGTATAGTGTAACTGCGTGCTAGTAGATTTGTTTCTTTTAAGCTAAGTTGTACCCAAAAAAAAAGTTAAAAAAAAAAAAAAAACCCTGGAGAAGTGTTATAGAATTTTATTCTTTCTTTCAGCGGAAGGCATGTTTTACCTTGATTTTTTAATCCATGTTCAAAGCAGTCATCAATATAACTATTTTATTAATGATTCATATCATTATTGCTATTTGTTCATAGATACTAACGGTTTTAAGTTGAGGATGTTCCCAGCACTTTTAACTGTTTGAATGTCATTTGCTTATTGAGCATCTGGGCTTCTTGTTTAATCTTAGGTACTTGTACAGAGGCTTGTCTACCGGGATCGCCCCACATGTGATCAATGTCTACGAATTCATGAAAAGCTGACCGAGAAAGCTGGGTTAGGTTGCATCCTACGTGCCCTGGCGGACACTGTAAATACTGTTTGATTCCGTCACTGATTACAATTAGAGAAGGGTCACTGTATAATTGTCATGCTTTCAAAATATTTATCTGAACTCCAAACTTAAAATGCACTTTTGGTACTCCATTAGGGTGGATTTTACCAATACAAATGTGCATATCATGAAAGCAATTGGGTCAAATCAATACTCACTGGATTGATTTCTCCAATTTCCATTCATAAGACGGTTCCTTTAATGTGGTGTGAAAAAAATTTCGTTAGTGATATTTTTGGAAAATATTCACTTCATGGCTCCTCTTCAGATGGGGACACCACAAGTTGTGAATTATCAGCAAAGCTATAAATTGCAAGATTACCACTGTTAGGTGTTTGAATTAATCACTCGGACAGTTACTTGACCCCACCCTCAAACAAAAATGTACATGACTAATTAAGACACCTTTCACCCCGTTGCTTAATTCAAATGGGTTTAAAGTGATACTCTCGAGCCTTCTATGACATCACCTCTGCCTGATGCTGGCCTTCTTTTTCAAGAAGCGACTCAGTGGACATGGCCGTGTGCGGCTATGCTCCCTTCACAAGCCTTCCTCAATATTTATTCAATTAATGAAAGTAGTACGCCTCAGTCCCGTTGATTGAACATCCGCAGGTGAGACCAGCCGTGCAACCCGGCGGGGAACAGGATGATTCAATCATGATGGATAAGCCTCGTTGTCATGGTCCTCAAGGCATGGGCGTCGTAGCCCGACTCACTTGGCCTCTCTCCTTTTGTGGTGTGAGGAAACGTAGACACATATCAAAATACTATGAATTTTTTTAATAAAACATTGTAAATCATTAAAAGCACGTAATTTCTTGTCTTGTCACATTATTTATCCCCTGAAAAGCCTAAAATACCCAGACTGTCCCCGCTTCCTCCCACATTAAATCCACTCTTTCTGCAACACAATCATTCCCCTACTCTTGAAGATTCAGATCTTCTACTTCTCCCTCACACACGTCAAAATCCTACTTATACTGAAAATTACAGTTTCACCACTATAAAGACAGATGCTGTTCCATTGGAGGAAATAAAAGTATGCATTACCCCTCTCAAAATACCCTAATTTTTCATTTCAGTAATTTTAAATTACCAGAATACCCCACTTAGAGAACTTCATTTGTTCTTCCGGTTCTGCCCACAACTCGAGAAGGCAATTACAATCAAGGACAGGCGAGATCACTTGGCCTTGGGCTGAAGGGCCAGATGACGTTCACGTTTGGTGCTCTTTGGTCTTTCGGATCGGCGATTTGAGGTGGTGCAGGACGTCGACAGTGGAACTGGTAGCAGCGGATGATGTTGGGAGGACGGCCACGCGCTCGCACGAAGGGCACATACTGAGGGTGGTGGGAGGGTTTGCGTGTGTGTAGGACTGAGAAGTGTGTTTTTAGTGCTCTGAGCTCATTCAGCTCCTCCTGCAACCGCCTGTTCTCCTCCGTCAGATGATCGCAGCGCCTCCTCAGATATTCGCAGTCCACCTCTGTTTGCTTCAGCTTTGTCCTACAGTAATTACACAGATTTTTCCAACAAAAATCTCTGGAATTAATATGGACTCTACGAACAATATATGAGTCAACCTCCTTAATTTGTTTTTAATTAATAACAATACTGCGTTTCGTATTTGGCATTTTTTGCTTATTTAATTTTCTTTTATTGCCTAATTTTAATTATTCTCAAAAAAATTTATGAATTAAAAATGGAAAAAAAAATCTATCAAATAACTTAATTATCAATCTATGCTAAAGTATTGCAAAAATTAAATATTATGTTACAGGGTATTTTGGTCTTTTCATTCAATATTTTCCTTTTTTTGGTCTTTTGCTAACTTTTTTTGTCCAAATTATTAGTGCTTAGAACTTACTTAACTTCAACTAATCTGATTTAAGTTAGATGAGATCTCATGACAGGGTAGAGCTCTCCTAATTAGAATTATTTCTGTATACAAGATTCGAATCTTATATCTTATTTAAGGAAAATAAAATATCAACTACTCCGACGACTATCCCTTGATTTACTAACTAATTTATTTACATGCCTTCAAATTTTCTTTAATTGACTTTTAAAAATGTTCTATAACAAACAATTACTGCTGCAAAAAAAAAAAAAATCGTGATAGTTAGAACTATCAGCAATATAAGCAAAAATTTTAATACATTTTGAATCCAACTTCAAAAATAATTTGTAACGTAAGCGATCAATTAATACTCCACCGTTACATTACGTGATCTTTAACAGGTAATATATAAAAATAAATAAATAAATAAATAAATAAATAAAAGCTTTTTAAAAAATTTATTTACACCTTTTACTAATTTTATGCCAATAATACCCTTCACATGATCGGAAATGCCTCACCTTGCCCTTCTGTTTTGGAACCACACTTCCACCTGTCGAGGCCGCAGATTCAGCTGGCTCGCCAGAGCCACCTTTTGCTTCTGAAAACACACAAAGCAAGGAGACAGATTTATTCACGATAGACGCCCTCTGTCCCACGCAAAACACCCTCCTCTTGTAAAAAATTTACGAGAACGCCACTCACCGGTTGAGCGTGCTATTCTCCTCGAACGCTTTCTCCAGCACCGTCGCCTCCTCCCTGGTCAGCCTCAGCTTCTTCCTCCCCGCCTCTCCACCGGCGCTTTCGTCCTCATCTCCCGCCCTGATGCCTGCGCCGGCATCGTCCTCACCTCTCTCGCTCCTCTTCCCACTCACGCTCGACAGCGTGCTGTTCGGTGACGACACCTCCACCTCCGGCGCCAGTGCCGACGGCTGGTTCACATCGATCGCGGGGAAGTGAGATCTTGTCGCTGCGCTCCAAACCCACATTGTGTTAATCAACAATTCAAAAAAACGAATTTATAAAAGCGTTTATATTCTCTCCGTTCCGAACTATAAAATGAATGGTCTAGATGAAGTCATCTCGAGAAGAAAAACGATAGTTTTTTATTTTTCTTTAATTTTGCAACTGAAGCCTCCATTTTTCCTTCATTTCCAAATCATGTTTAAATATGCATGTATAAAATATATCTATATGTATCTATACATATATATTATATATATGTCTATACTAGATTTTTCTTCAATTTTACAAATGAAGCCTCCGCTTTTCTTCATTTTTTTCCAAAGAAAGGTTTTTTTTTTCTGGTTTCTAAATCATACTTGTAAACACGCCCATATATCTATATGTATACGTACCAATAGACCAACCAGAAGGAGGCTGCAATGAATCAAAGAGAGAAGATTTGTTGTGGGGTCGCAAATCGGGTGGGTTCAATAAGGGAGTTGGATCCGGGTTTCCAAAGCACTTCAAGCTCAAGCTCAGGGATAACCCATCGTCTTCCTCACCCATATCTCCACTCTCTCTCTCTCTCTCTCTCTCTCTCTACTTTTCTGGGTATGGAATCCAAGACAGAGAGAGAGTACAACAGAAGATGGGGAAAGAGGTCACAGCTTTTCCTTGGCCACACTGCGGTACAACACAACAGTATGAGGATAGCACCACATAAATATAAAGAGTAGGGACGTGACACATGTATTTGAATAAATAATGGTCAATTCGATTTCTAATTTAATATATTTACCCGCAAAATATATTAAGAAAATTTTTAAAATTTGTAGATATTTTTGGAAATCACAAATACTTAAATGTATTTCAGTCAAAAGTTTCCTTCTTTAATAAATTGAAAACTTATAAGTGGTGGATAAAGCTTTATTTGTCAGTCAAAATAATTAAAAATTATAAGAATTATATTTATTACGATAAATTTTAAAGAAATTATCATCGCTATTTTTTAAATTATACAAATTAAAATTAATTTTTTATCAAATTCATTTGAAATAAATACGTCCGCCTACCCAAATAATTGAAACCCAGGTGTGCTTTTATATTATTATTATTATTATCTCGTATGTGCGTATGTGTGTGTATATATATGTATGTATAATAAATAATTAAATAAACAGGTATCCCGGGGAGGAGATCAATCATACTCGTGTCAGGAGTGTCCTATTGGCTCAATCATGGCAATGGCGGGATTGTGTTCGCCTTTTTTTTTTTTTCCCTGCTTAGTCTTTGCATGACAGCGTCTTAAACCCAACCCGGGTAAGGACTTAACCATGGTTGGAGACTTGTGTAGCTGTAACCGAGAGCTGCTTCCGTTCTTTTTCAACCCATGGGTTTCGAAGTCCCTTCTCATAAAAAGCGGCTTTACGTCAAGTTGACCGTTGACCAAGCTGTGGTTTCCTCGTGAGGAGCAAATGCCTAGGCCCACGCTCGATTTCTCACGCGCCGCGCATCGCGTTGCATGCTCCCGAGCGTTCGGACGCGTGGGTGGCGCAGAGCTCAAAAAAGATTAATTAATTGGAGTTTTCATCAAAAGTTAATTACTGTGGTATTTAAGGATTACGTTACAAAAAAGGGTTAACTGGGGGTCGGTGAAAACGTGGGTTTTATGACCGTTTTGTTAAAATTACAAAAAAGGACCAGCATAAAATAAAAATAACAACAAAGGACAATAATAATAAAGTTAAATTCAAATTTTATGACTTTAATATTAAGTAATGGTATAACAATTTTATTTACTTTGTATGCCAAACTTTACTAAATTTGTATTCCAATCATTTACTTCTCCATTTAGTATTTAGTTTTAGTTTATAATTTTTTATTTCTGTTAAGTCATTTTTTATTTTATAATTTTTTAAATCCAGATAAAAAGCTTAAACAAATTTCTTATTCATTTATTGTGGCATTTTGTTTCTTGGATTTTATATTTTTTTACAATCTTTGGTAGATGGGCTTCAATTTATATTCCGAATTTTTAGGTTCAAAACTTGTGAATTTATAAAGACATAGCAAATATTTTTAAAAAATTAATAATTTAATAATCAACATATTATGTAATTCAAAATTTAACTCAAAGCAAAAATGATCATAAGATTTATCTAAAAATCAAACATTCGACTTATAATTTTTTCCCTTCCCCTATTCCAATATATCACCATGTTGGATTAATCCGGTGGTATTTTTATATGCATATCATTGATAAATAAGGGTTAATTCAAAAATTTTTATTTTAGATTTTTTATATATAAAATACACTCTTTTGCTTTATATAAAAGTTTAATAGTTTGAACATCGGGGCACCATTACAAATAATATTATTTAATATTAAAAAGTATATAAAACTAAAAATTTAAAACGTTAAAAAAATATGTTAATCACACTATCTTTTTGTTTAGCTCTTTAAATACTAAATATATCATATTCTTTTCATCAGCACTTATTATTTATGGAAATTAATGTTATTACTAATATTATAATTAATTGACCAAAAATTACCTTATTAAATTTTGTAACGCCTTGTACCATTTATATTTTAATAAGGGATAGTTTTGTTTTGGAAAAATACTTTCCTTACTTACCAAGACTGTCTTTACTCATTTATTGCAATTGAAATTTAAAAAAATAATTTCTTACTTTATTGTGGCTTCTTCAATATATTTTATATTTTTACTTAATTTTTAAAAAATATAATAGAAAAAGGAAAGTATTTCATACCATACCAATTAAACTCTTGAGTCATTTTTGTTATACCCTTCATTAATTATGAGACAACACTTTACATATTTTATATTTTTTATTGTATTGATTGCTTTAGCATTTATATTCACACTAAAAAATAAGTAATATATTGTTCTATACACACATACATATGTACATATATATGTTTCATATTTTCAATTTGAATGGTAAATTTGCAATAAATTAATTTATTAAAACATTAATGATTACTTGCCTTTCTCACTAAATACACATATAAATTGATATAATAAATAAAGAAATTTAATTTTAAGCGAAATTACATTTTCTCGTGATAGGAATAATAATTTGTATTCCCGCTTAAATTGAAAAAAGTAGAAATTCCACACTTTTTTTAAAAAAATTTTCTAAGCTGTGAGTACATATTATATATAAATGATTATTTATTATGTATTATTTCCAAATAAGTATACATGATTTTATTTCTATAAAAAAAATATCGTCGTAATTACTTGCTATAATTTTATTTTTTTAAATGTTAATTCCCAGTGATAACTAATGACTCACGAACTGCACCCTAGTAATTAATAATAATAAATGAAATATTATTTGTTCCAAAAAGAAAATTTAAAGGAAATTATTGAAAATGCCTGATCCCGAGCACCTTTGAAATACTTGAGAAAAAAAGTCAACCCATAATTAATGGAAGAAGAATTCATTGGCCATTTTCTCCACTTTGTCTATGTATTCAACTTCATTGTTTTTAAAATTTCAAAATAACAAATATTTCTTTTTGACTAATTTATTTTGCAATAAATATGAAAAAATCATAAATCATATTTAATCACAATAAACTATTTATTTGATATTGATTTTAATATTCGTTAGATCAATATCAATATTTATACTGATTTAACAAATATTAAAACTACTGAACCATTAAGTCATTACAGTTATTATTATTTATTTTACAATTTAAAATTAATTATGTTCAATATATTCTTATAATATAAAATTGATAAAAAATAATAATTTATTTAATGTTAACTTTAATATTCATAAGATCAGTATTAACATCTCATACTAATTTATTAAATTACATCGTTGTTGCTTATTTTAATAATTTAGATTATAAAAGCAATATCTGGCTAATGGAAGCCTTGTGGTGTATCAAGAAATCCATTATTTGGCAATCACTGGATTTAGAAAGTCAACCTAATTATTAGATTCTCTTTGTTGCCATTAAACATGAGCTATTAATAAATAATACAAGATGAAATCTAAGTTAGTTTTTATAACTTCCATATTTTGGATGTGTTGATTTGGACCATCAAGATAGACAATATGTTATTAGATTTGAATATTAATTTACTTAATGTAGAAACTTAAATATGTAAATAGAAAATTAAAATTAATTAAAATGCTGGTGTGAGAGGACAGGGACAAAATTGAAATAATTAATTTTAATACGGAACCATTAACATAAAGAATTAATCATTTAATATACATAATAGTGATTTTATAGACGCCAAAGAAAGTAGGGGCTGAGATCACGTGAAGGGGCACGCGTTCGAATGAGGAGGGGTAAACAGGATTCACGTGCGTAGGGCAACATACTGTCTGCCACGTGCTAATGATTGGAGGGAACAGGCACGTGTGATTCTGTCTCCCGTAGCCTCAACGCAGCACAAGCTGCTCCCCAATCATTTTATGGGAATATAGGATTTATACATTCAGTTTTACTTTTTTGTTTTGCCAAAAGCCATTATTTCAGATAAGGTGAATTTTTGACTGTTATGAAATCAATATTTCAAATAAAATTCCTAAATATGATTTTTCTTTCTTTATTTTAATCAAAACGTGTTATTTGAAAATTTATAAAATGAAATTATTCAAAGATAAAAGTCATAAATAGTCACATATATACATAAAATCTCAATTTAAATTTTTTTTAACTCAATAAATGATTGCTTTTGACAAGAAATTGATGGGTCTACAATGAACGAGAAGGAACTGGAGGAGGACGGCCGAGGCTAATGGTAGGGGGGGAGGACAATAATGCTGAGGAAGAGGATGGTGACTGAGAGATTAGAACCCAACCAAGTCACTTGATATATCAACGGTGTTATGGTGTCTATTTATAATTATTTTTAGAGCGTAAATAATAGTTAAATAAATTTACATGAGTAAGAATAATTTAAAATTCAAATTCAATTAAGAAGATGTAGGAAAAAAATAAAATAAAATAAATCTAATAAAAAATTAAAAGTGCTTATACAATTTATTT